CATACACACCACACACGCACATACACCTACACACACCTACACACACACACACCACACCTACACACACCACAAACACCTACCCCACACACACACACCTACACACACACACCACAACCTACAGCACACACACACACACACACACACACACACTACACACACACACACACACCTACACACACCACACCTACACCACACACACGACACCTACACACACACACACACCATACACACACACAACACCTACCCACACACACACACCACCTACACAACACCACACACACCTACAACACACACCTACACACAACACACACCTACACCAACTACACACACACACACACCCTACAACACACACACACACACACACACTACACACACAACACACCTACCACACACCACACACACCTACACACCACACACACACACAACCTACACACACACACACACACAACCTACAACACACACACACACACCGTACACCACACACAACACCCTACACACACACACACCAACACCACACACACACACACACACACACACACAACACCACACACACCACACACACACACAACACCACACACACACACCTACACACCTACACATACGCACGCACACAATGCACACACTACCACCTACACACAAACAAACACACACCACACACACACACACAACACCACACACACCACACACACACACACACACACACACACACACACACACACACCACACACACACCTACACCACACAACACACCACCTACACACACACACACCCAACCTACACACACAACACACAAACACCACACACACACACACACCAACACACACCACACACACACTACACACACACACACACACACACACCTTACACACCTACACATACGCACGCACACAATGCACACACACAACCTACACACAAACAAACACACACACCACAACACACACACACACACACAACACACACACACACACACACACCACACACAACACACACCAACACAACACACAACACACTCACACACTCCACACACACCACACAACACACACACAACACACACACACACACACACACACACACACACAACACACACACACACACACACACACCTACACACACACAACACACACACACACACAGCACACACACACACACACACTACACACACACACACACACACAGCACACCACACACCACACACACACACCACACACACGACACACACACACACACACACACACCACACCCACAACACATACACACACACCCACACACACACACACACCACACACAACACCCACACACACACCTACACACACACCACACACAGACACACACACACACACACACGCACACGCAGCACCTACACACGCACACACACTACACAGTACGCACGACACTATGCACACGCACTTACAACGCACACGCGCACACACACACCACAGACACACACACACAACACACACACAACACACACACACACACCACACACACACACACACACACCACAACACAGACACACACACACACAGACACACACACACACACCAGACACAAACAACACACACAGACACACGACACACACACACACAGACACACACACACACAGACACACAACACACACAGACCACCCACACACACAGACACACACACCACAAGACACACAACAACACACACACACACACACAACACACACACACGACACACACACACACACACACACAAAACAAACACCACACACACACACACACACAGACACACACACACACACGACACACACACACACAGACACACACACACACAAAACACACACACAGACACCACACACAACAGACAACACAGCACACACACACAGACACACAACACACAGACACACACACGCACACACACACACGCACACACACACACGCACCACACACACATACACACGCACACACACCTACACATTACGCACGCACATCACTCACGCACGTTCACATGCACACGCACTTACACCATGCACACGCACTGTACACTGCACACGCACTTACACACGCACACACACCACACTCGCCACACGCACACACACCCACACCCAACATACGCGCACAACCCACACCCACACACACCCCACACACAACCCAACACCCACACAACCACACACACACACACACACACACACACACACAACACTCTCTCTCTCTCTCTCTCTCTCTCTCTCTCTCTCTCTCTCTCTCTCTCTCTCTCTCTCTCTCTCTCTCGTGTGCATGTGTGTGTGTGTGGTGTATGTATGTATGTATATGTGTTTTTATGTGTGTGTGTGTGGTTTGTGTGTGTGCGTGCATGTTTGTGTGTGCGTGCATGCATGTGTGTGCGTGCATGCATGTGTGTGCGTGCGTGTGCGTGTGTGTGTGTGTTTTGATAACAATGACCTCTCGAAATCTGACATTAGATCGAGACTTTCCGAAAATTAGTTATGGTCAGTTTCATATTTATATATGAGAATAGAATTACCCACGTGAATATG